CCTCGCTCCCTGCCCAGAATAGGCCCCCGGCTGTCTCCTTTGCTGGAGGCTGGAGGGAGGAGGAATAACTCCTGCTGTGCCTCCTCCCTGCTGCTGCAGCAGGAGGTGGCAGGGCCCTTACTGGGGGCAGCAGCCCGTGTCATACCGCGGGGGAGCGTGAGCCCTTTCCTGGTGAGGGGCTGCGCTGTGGGGCCGACAGAGGTGCAGCTGGCTGCGTGCGGCAGCGCCGGGAAGGGGCTTGCTCCAAGAAGCCATGTCGGGCTGCTTCCCCTCTCGGTTACTCACCGGTCGCTGCTCCAGCTGCTGAGTGGGGCCGGGCTCGGCCCCGCCACTGTTCTGTGCTCGGGGCAAGCCCCCTCCTGGGAGGAAGGGGCTTATTCAGTTGCTGGCGCCAGAGCCCGGCCAGGCTGCAGCTGCCGCTGTTCTGTGCTTGGGCCAGTGGCTGAATAAAGCCCCTTCCGGCCGGGAGGGAGCTGTCCCAAGCACGGAGCAGCAGTGGCTGCAGCCCGGCTTGGCATACCTCGCTGCCGTGCGGGCGGCCAGTGGTTGAATTAGCCCCCTCCGGCTGGGAGGGGCTTGTCCCGCGCACAGAACAGTGGCGGGGCCGGGGCCGGGGCCGGGCCCGGCCCTGCCCGGCAGCTGGAGCAGCGACCAGTGGGCAACTGCGAGGGGCAGCAGCCCGTCACATCTTCTCGGACCGCGTGCCCCTTCCCGGCGGGAGCTGCTCTGTGGAGCGCTGCACGGGGCTTGCAGGGCTCTGGCCCGCTTGGGACCCTGGCGCTGCTGCGGCCGCAGCTCTGCCGGCTCCGCAGTGCAGCCCCTCACTGGCGTGTGTGTGGGTGTTTATTGCCTTATGCTTCATTAGGAAAACTGCACGTTTTCAAAATCCCAAAAATCTAATACCTGACAAAGGGGCAATAAAACCAATGCTATGCTCACGTTTAGAATATACTATTTAACAGGAAAAATTGATTTGTTTCATGTTTACCTTTCTTTGTCACCTTTTTGTTGAATGTGTTATGTATGTATTAAACTGAAACTACTTGTCACCTGATTGTCAGTTCGAATCCTAGCACCGCCCCAGAGCCAGTTAGAGACTCTTGTGGGGTGGTGGGCTGGGGCTGCCCCAGCACGGCATCAGAGCCAGAGCAGTTGAGACCTGTCATTCTGAGCCTATACACTGTACCTGAGCCTTGAACCCAGCTTTGCTGGGGTGCTCAGGCTGGGACTGACAAGCAGTTGACTTTTCAGTTTCAGCTCCTGCACTGCACTAGAGGCAGTTTGAGACACTGGTGGGACCAAAAATGAGCTGATTTTCTATCTTCATTTGGGACTGCACTGGAACCCAGCCCAAGGATCCCTACTGATCATGTTATTTCCATAGAGCAGCCCCACATTAGCTGAGCATATGTCACTTAATACTGTCTACAGATATTCCTCCTCAAAAAGGTGTTACTGTGCTACGAAATGATATGATAGGAGAGCACTTAGCACATGTAGACACTGGTGTTTTAAATGCATTTAGCATGTACAAAGTGTCCTATGCAACATGGCCCTTAGGTGCAATATTCTTGCTAATAACATAAAACTGTTGAATGTTTAAAATTATTTTTCTCATCTATGTAGATTATAGAGGATCAAAACTAATTCTAGAAAGAGGTGAGAAACTAGTTGGTTGCAGCTCACCAGAAAGAAATGATGTGGCTGCATTTTTTTTTCTTGGCAACTTGCTGAAAGAAACTGACTTCTTGAGGTAAAGGAGTTGAGCTAAATGTTAACAGGGAAGGTGTAAATTACCTGACATTCAAATAAAAAAGATTAATTAACACGCACTACTGTTACCTATTTATATTCTGTGAAACATAACCAGAAGTAAAAAATAATGAAAGCCACAGTGGGACAATTGTTGTTTTCTTGTGAATGCCTTTGTGTGTTTAATACATATGATCAAAATCTACATTCCTCATCCCCACCCTCCAGTAGGCTGTAAATGTCAGTTTCAAAAACATAAAATGTGACCTAGTGATAGTTAGGCTCTTGCAGTATATAGGATAGGGAACAATAGGGAATACTGATGCATTTACAGCATTTGTTTTCAGAGGGTGTTAAGCATTAAGGCTGCTTACAGATGTAAGCACACCAAAACAAAACAGTGCTTTACTTACAGCTCGGCGTGCCCCCACACCAAGCACAGAGCATGTCCAGCAGAGGCATTGCTTTAGTTTGAGTTGGTTCGCCCAACATCTTTACAGATCACACACTTCAGCAGAGCTTTTTGGTGCTTTTACATAACAGCTTTTATCTAATAGCGTGTCATACTAACATGCTTCCTCTTTCAGTAGAGCACTGTTTTCTCTTTTGTTTTTTAACATCCATCAGCCCCCTAAGAGACCATCTAAGCTCCTACCATTAACATGAGTAGTTGGAGTACTGCGTCCAGTTCAGCTGGAGTACTGCGTCCAGTTCTGGGCGCCGCACTTTAGGAGAGATGTGGCCAGCATCGAGAGGGTCCAGAGGAGGGCCACTTGCATGATCCGGGGACAGCAGACTCTATGAGCAGAGGCTACGGGACCTGACCTGTTCAGCCTTCACAAGAGAAGGCTGAGGGGAGACCTGGTGGCCGTCTACAAACTTACCAGCGGGGACCAGTAGGGAATGGGAGAGACCCTGTTCACCCATGCACCTCTTGGAGTAACAAGGAATAACGGCCATACATTGTTTGAGAGTAGGTTCAGGCTGGACATTAGAAGACGCTATTTCACAGTCAGGGCAGCTAGGATCTGGAACCAACTTCCAAGGGAAGCGGTCCTGGCTCCTATCTTGGGGGTCTTTAAGAGGAAGCTTGACAGTTACCTAGCTGGGGTCATATGAGCCCAGTATTCTCTCCTGCCCAGGGCAGGGGGTCAGACTTGATGATCTACTTAGGTCCCTTCCGACTGTACATCTGTGAACTTGTCATGCAAACCTATCAACAGTGAACCTTCTCTTTTGACACTCTGAATTTCAAAATTGTGTCTGCTTCTTGTTGCTAATAGCAATACAGCAGAATGTACTAATGTATTTCAGTGAAGCTAGTGACATCAGGAATTAATTGTTGTATCTTACAATGATTGTTTGTTCATTCACAGTTGATTTTTTAAATATAGTTAAAGGTCTAGATGTAAATGTCTTAATGTGTCTTAATTATCACAGTATTTTAATTTGGAGGTTATTGTGGACATCATTTTATTTAGTTTCAATTAGAATGTCTGGCAAGATTTTGCAGTGTGTTGAGCCAGAACTAAAAATGCTACTTCGGAGTTTATAGTAAAGCTGGGAGGGAGGGAAATATTTGCCAATATAAGTGTGATATACAAGACTGTTAGTGAAAAACTGGATATACTGTATTTACTTGAATAAAGGACCATTTAAAATTTAAGGCTACCCCCACCAAAATTAGATCCTAAACATGGAAATTTATAAATTTGGAATAATAAAATTCTATGTATAGAATCTAATTATTGGAGGGTTGTCTTCTGTATCTTCATTAATGTCTTAGGTGATGGAGGTGAGTGTGTACTCAGTAAATTTGCAAACGGCACCAAGAAGAATAGACTAACAGACGCTTCGGAAGCTAGGATAAGATACAGAATTACATTGCTGATTTCAGACCACTTCTCCAATTCAGCTTGTCAGGCCAGGCCTCTTGGTCTGCTATCTGGTGCCATGTAAACTAATACAGCCTGTTCCATGGTTGGGTTGTTGGCAACTAAACTGGCACCCTGACTTGGGATAGCCTTCAGTGAGGAGGGTGTGTGGACACCCAGCAGGACTGAAAACAAGACCTGTCAAAGGATGGATGAGCTCCCTGTGAGCCAACGGCCATCCATACCTGGAGAGGAGATGGCTGTCATCAGGTCATTTTGCCAAAGAATCACCAATGATGTAAAACAACTCCACTAATCTCGGAGTGGAGAAGGATTGTTATAACATCGAAGGTGCCCCAGTGGTTGCAGTGGCCTTGGGACTGACTTGAGTTGGGCAATACTGCAGAAAAGAACCTGGTCATTACAGTGGACTGCGAGCTGAATATGAGTCAAGAGTATGCTATTGCTGCAAAAAAGAGCCAATAGCAAGTATGCATTAGCGGGAGAGTTGTATGCAAATCACAGACAGTGATTCTTCAGCTCTGTTCAACCCAGGTGAGGCCTTACCTAAAGTAGTGTGTGCAGTTTTTGGGCACTGCAGGTCAAGAAAAACATGGGTAAATTGGAAAGAGTCTGGTGAAGAACAACAGAAATGATTGGAGGTCTGAGAAATACGAGAAAAAGTTAGTAGACATGAGATTATTTAGTCTTGAGAAGAGAAAATTGAGGAGGGGTTTGACAAATCTTCAAGTACCAGGAAGGTTTTTATACAGAGTCTTGTGATTGACTAATCTCTTTATCCGTAGGTCATAACTCATAATAAAGGACGTGTAATGCGTTGAAATTACAACAAGGATGATTTAGGTTGGGTATTAGGAAGACATTTCTAATTATGATGGCAGTTAAGCACTAGAACTTTGTCTGCGAAGGTTTGTAGACAGGGTGGATACAAATCAACAATGGAAAAAAATAAATCAGATTTTTTAATTTAAATTGGATTTTTGATTTAGGCTTATTTTTAACGTTTTTGTTAAGATGCTTTTAAAAAAATAAGCCTATATAAAGATAGTTTTAATATAAGATATGTTAAACCTCAAAGACATCATCATGGAATAGGGATTATAAATTTTAATTATGTACTAGTTCAGATAATAGATTTATGTAACCTTTTTAGAAAAGATTTATAAATAAGGCACAACAGGTCATGGACTGTATTAGGGGCCCAATCATATGGGATTCCCAGAGGCTTCACTATAGATAGTTTCATAGTAGCTAGGGTCAGGAGGGACCTGAACAGATCACCTAGCCTGACCCCCTGCCCCAGGC